CAAAGATCACTAACTTGTGGCCGATTGTTTCTCTCTCTCCAGAAGCCCTAGTTCTTAATAACTCAATGGCATTAAGATGTTTTTCCGACTCCAAATGCACCTGCTGTTTTTCTAACAAAGGGGTGGCGGGACAGAGATTGTCTTAGCTCAATCAGCCTCAGAGCCTGGCGCCCCGCACTCTGGGAGTTTAGGCCCAGTTTCTGTGCTCGGCAGCCCTCAGGTCATGAGTGGCCCCCCGCAGGTGCCTTTCTTCAAGGTTTTTTCTCCTTGCCCAGGAAAATGCCATTTGGGTTTGTGTTTGCTCCTGTGGAGAATTGAAACCAAAGTAAAAGATGCTATGTTTATAACTGGAGCTCAAGTGATAAAATATAATATATAAGCCATCCAGCCTGCTTATCCATTTACACTTATCTAGTACTTTTATTTTGCTGTTGAGGCTAACTCTCCTCTCCAAGAGAAGGTACAGCATTATTGCCAACATGACATTTTCTAATGAGTTTGGAAGAAAAGGGAATACTGTTCCCATAGCAAAGCATAATTTTTGCATCTGTAGCATATTGGAAGGCTTAAGGAAAAAGATTGTTTTTGATTTGTATCTCCCAATTTTCTACCATTGTTGGCCACCTTTTAAAGGAAGATATGCATAACTGTGACAAGATGTTCAAACTTGAGTTAGTTGATAAGCAATCTCTTTAGAAAATTGTGGATATAAAGTAAGTGTTTAAGATGATGCCAATAATTGCCTCTTCTGGTTAGGAAATACTCCTTGTTCCAGAAAAACTGCAATGAAGTTAATACCATTATTCTAAAAGCTATGTTGAGAGGTGGCAGGACATAGCTATCTCTCACCAGAACACTGATTAGAACTGGAGTGAAGTTTTTGAATTCCATTTTACTCTGAGCCTTAGCTTCATCATTTTTCAAATGGGGCTTAATAATTACCTTTGAGGTTTATTGTGAGGTTTAGAGGTCATGTTTGTGAGCATCTAACCCTTAGGTTCTCAATAAATAGGAACTTTTACTACTTCCAATCTGACAATAATTATTTTGTCTTACCTTGGTGACCTGAGGAATAATACTAGAGTGCAGGGAATATTAGAATGTAATTATAGAAAAGGTTAGCACAGAGTTTATAAGATTTTGGCTGGCATAACTTCTAAGTCACTTGCCAGTTTTCTCCATTCAGAATATGTAGCAAATGAAATGAGAAAATGTAATTTACAGTGTCTTATATTTGTAAGACCCCTTAAAGATCGTCTAGTGTAAATTCCTTTACAGTTAAAAAAATTTCTTTTGCAAGCATCATCAATAAAAGTCGTCATCTTAGAAGAGTGATGATATCATGGTCACTACTTTTTAAAAAGTATTTTCTTTAAGTCCTATTTGATGGAAGAGTCTTCCTTTAAGTTTGCTGCTTTAATATTTCCACCTGTTCATTCTAGATCTGTTCTTTTAGGTGAAACAGCACAATTTCGGGATGAGAGCCTTTCATATATTTCCCTGCCTCCAGTTCTTGCTCCCTTGCAGTCCGTTTTCCACAACACAGCCAGAGTGATCTTTACAAAGTACAATTTGGGTCACACTTCCTCCCTTGGGCTCTGTGACTCTAAACTCACTTGATTGTTTTCTATTTCTCTGTTCTTTCTGTTAGTCATAAAGTAACTGTTGAGTGCCATCAGTGTGCCACAGATAAGTAGGTGAATAAGACAGGATCTTTCCCTGTGCTGCATATCAGTCTGTCATTAGCTCATCTTTTCATGTATCTAGATGTTGAAGCCTAGGTAATTACCTAAGGTTTCTGCCATTTGCTCTGCTGTTTCCTTTTTAAAAACTCTTTCCTAAGGCAGCAAGAAAATCCCAGTCTGCATCAAAAATCCTAATCTGTTACCCCCTGCTCCACTCCAATCCCACACTGGCTGGTTAGCTTGTTAAGGGGATAAGAATGACTTCTTAACTCAGGTATACTAAATGTGGCAAGTTTTAGCATTTGATCCTTCCTTAGTAATTTTTAATGCTCAGTCTATTAGTAATAAATAATAAAATCTGTTAGTAATTTTCTTTGCTCATTTTATTTTCAGTTCTGGATATTTAAAGGCCAAACAGTATATGGAAGAAGAAAACTATGATAAAATCATAAGTGAATGCTCAAAAGAAATAGATGCTCAAGGCAAATACATGGCAGAAGCATTATTACTACGAGCTACCTTCTACCTGCTTATTGGCAACGCCAACGCAGCCAAACCAGATTTAGATACGGTCATCAGCTTGAAAGAAGCTAATGTGAAGGTACATTTAAAACTGTGTGTATGTGAATGTGAAAAAATTAATAATAAAAATGAGGCATTTATATATGTTTTGCCAAATTTTTGGCATTTCAATTGCCATTCTCCAAAAGATTATTTTTGACTTGGAAGGAACTACAACTAAATGACAGAGTTGGTGCAGTGAAACTACAACAAGCATCAGTGATAGTTATCTTCACCTGGGAAAGGGTTTTTTTCCTATAGTGTCTGGTTGCTTCAGGTTCCCCACATAGCTTCTGCCTGCAGTATTGGCCTGTATTTAGGTAAGGGTAAGGGTGCTGTTACAGATAATATATAGTAGTGCTGTTGTAGGTAATATTGTAAATAATATGCGATATGCAGCACAAGGCTATAAAATGAATTTAATAAAAGGAACACATTTAATATATTCTGAAAGATTTTATGTTACATGAGGAAAAAACAGGTCCTAAAAAATATGATATAGAAATATATTGAAATATACCAAAAATTTTTTGCATTTATGTGGTTGGAACAGCTTTTCATTTTCTAAGTGTTCTTATGTGTATGTAGTTATTTTCATAATTAAGATTTGGTGGAGGGTCTGTTGAATTATATAAGCTTTCTACTCGGTGTAACAGAAACAGAGGTTAGCCACCAATTGACTATATTACTTACTAGTTAGTTAACATCTCTGGTTCCTCACTGAATTAAATGAACTCTGGTTTTGTTCACCTCCAAATGAATCATTCATGTATTTTATGGAAAATGAGTTTTTAAGCCCTAAGTATTTGTTAGCAAATTAACTTCTTTTAAACAAAAGTATTTAAGTATTTGTTGAAAGTTCCTTTCAAATTGGTGAGATTTTTGAGTTGAAGTTACCCTGGTAATAATTATCTTTATTTCCTGCTGATTTTCCTGCTGATTGAAAATATGTTATTATGTGTTTTTGTTCTCATTGTGGGGCAGTCTTGTTTGTTTCATTGAAGAAGACATTTGTACATACTTTTGCCTTGAAAAAAATTTGGGGGAAGAATCCTGTTTCTTACTTCATGATCATGACTTTTTGTTTTAATGCCAAATTGTAATGATGCCTGTCATATGCCATGTACAAAAATTAGCTCAAAATGGATTAGAGACCTAAACATAAGAGCCAAAACTATAAGACTTGCAGAAGAAAATATAGGAAGAAATCTTCAATACTTTAGATTAAGCAGTGTTTCCTTAGGTAGGACATCAAAAGCACACATGACCAAAAAAAAAAAAAAAAAGAAAGGAAAACACATTCCATAGAATGGAAGAAAATATTCACAAATCATAAATCTGATAAGGGGCTTGTATCCAGAATATATTAAAGAGCTCTTCTTACAACTCAACAATAAAAAGTCAGCCTAATGTAAAAATAGGCAAAGGATCTGAATTTCTCCAAAGAATATGTACAAATGGTCAATAAGAATGTGAAAAGATGCTTAGCATCATTAGCCATTTGGAAATGTAAATCAAAGTCTCAATGATGTATCACTTTATACCCACTAGGATAGCTATAATCAGAAAATTGAACAATTAAAAGTATTGGTGTAGACGTGGAGAAATTGGAACTCTTATGCATTGCTGGTAAGACTATAAAATGGTAAAGTCTTTTTGGAAACTAGTCTGGGAATTCCTCAAAAGGTTGAACGAAGAGTTACTGTGTGACCCAGCAATTCTTCTCCTAGGTATAATATACTCAAGAGAATTGAATACATAATGTCAATACAAAAAGCTTATACATGAGAGTTCATAGCAGCATTATTCATAATAGCCAAAACATGGAAGCAGCTCAAATGTTCATCACCTGATGAACAGATAAATAAAATGTGATATGTCTATACAGTGGAATATTATTCAGCCATTTAAAATAATGACATACTGTTACATGCTACAACATAGATGAACCTTGAAAACATTATGCTATGTGAGAGAAGTCAGACACAAAAAGACCTCATGATATACAATTCCATTTATATGAAATGTCTAGAATATACAAAACCATAGAAATAGTAAGTACATTGATGGTTTCCAGGGACTGAGGATTAGGAGAGAAATAGGCAGTGCCTGCTAATTTGTATGAGGTTTCTTTTGGGGGTGGTGAATATGTTCTAGAATTAGATAGTGGTAATGGTTACACAGTCCTGAATATACTTAAAATGACTGGCTTATATACTTTTTAAGGGGTTCGCTTTATGGTATGTGAATTAAATCTCAACAAGGCTGTTATTTAAAAAAAACTAAATTAGAATACAAAGTAGTAGCAATGAGTCTTGTCTTATTTTTGGTATATAGCTTCGAGCAAATGCTCTCATCAAAAGAGGCAGCATGTACATGCAGCAGCAGCAGCCTTTGCTGTCCACTCAGGATTTTAACATGGCTGCCGACATTGATCCTCAAAATGCAGATGTTTATCACCACCGAGGACAGGTAAATTAATTTTCTTATCAAGAATTCTGATCTTTGAATTGAGACATTTGATGTCATTTTTGAGAATGTCGACGTTTTCTCATATCACTTCCAATAGCTGTGAACAAAGTATTACAGTGATTTACAGTTTGGGTTGGCATTTATTTAGTCCCATCTTGAACATTTGTCCTTATAATTTTGGTATTTCCAGTAAAATAAAAAGAGAGAGAGAGAGAAGAGGATGGCCATAAATGTTGGCTTGCCGGTTCAAGTTTGTTTTTCAGATGATTCTGGTTCATAGGTTTTCAATGAGTAAAACATTAAAAATGTAGTGAGCATTTTGAGTTAACGCTAGAATCAGCAGAATGATTTTTGTAGGCTTCTTGCTGTAAGGAAGTATTAACCTGGACGGTCCAGACAGTACCACAAAAATCTTCTGAATGGAGTTTTATAACATGCATATTTTCTTTTAGTAAAAATACGTAGTGAAGAAAACAGTTCCCAGTTTCAGCCTCATCTGGAGAAAACATGGCTTTATAATTTGCTTGTTTGACATGGCTTCTTGGAATGCATTAGAGTGGGAAGTATGGGCTAATCCATATAATGACAGAAAAGCTCAAGTTCTCTCTAACAGAGAATTTTACCTAATATTTCTGTCTGATGGGTCTTAAGAAGTGTTGCGAAAATCATAAAATTCTTGATATTTTGATCCTTACTGGTAGTACCTTAAGATTAATTTGAAAGGTTATTATCTAATGTTTGATCTACTTTGAAGTTTTGAAGTACAGAGATATTTCATTTTCTAGAAGAGAAATCATTTAACAGTGATCAAAAATAGTAGGTTTATAGTGCTTTTTAAAAAACTAGACACTCGTTTTAAGTTTTAGAATCTTTCCTTTAAAATTAGAAGATTTTTCTAGTTCATTTCTAGAAACTAATTCAATATTGAATAATTTCATGCTTAGCATTATGCTGAGCTGTAATAAGAGACACGGGACATACTTAACTGGTATAGCTACTATTTTGAACTGCGTTTATTTATGTATTTCTTTTCCTTAGCTGAAAATACTGCTTGATCAAGTTGAAGAAGCAGTGGCAGATTTTGATGAATGTATTAGATTAAGACCTGAGTCTGCTCTGGCACAAGCTCAGAAATGTTTTGCATTGGTAGGTTCTCCTTTTTCTTTTGTATTTTCCTGAACGTCGGTATTTCCCATTGTTAACAAAAATGAGTATCTCATTGCCTTCAAAATCATCTATTTTCCCCAAAGGATGACTAACAGGTAGAAAAACATGTCAGTTTAGGGAAATAGAAGTGTATATGCTACTTAAGGTACTGCTCCCCTATTTCTCTGGATGTTTTATTTAAGTTCATCTTGATAGGTGTTTGTCCCTGATTTTATGCCCCCCTAAACAGCACTGTTCTCCCTACTTCTCTATCATAAACCAGTACAGAGAACCACATAACTCATCTCTCATTTTGCATTTGTAGAGCTATTAATATTCAGAAACACAAAGCTGAAAATCAGGTAAAATAAGGCCATTTCTAATGAAATAATGAGATACTTCCAGTTAGCCCTATAGCTTGAGTCCTAAAAGAATTTCCCTCCTAAAGAAAGAAGTCAGGTCACAAACACATATATAGTATTGATGAAAAATGTTATTAGATGATGGAGCTTTATAACATTTTTAGTAAAGTGATAATAAATTATACAGGATTTAAAATTCCCTTCCTTATATGTAAAGCTGGCTTCTGACAAGTTAGTCTGGCTTCTAGAGTACTGAGCACCTTGAAGTTGTAGCGTGGCAGTGAAGTGCTACTTGTACGTAGTCTTTGGATCCCTACTCCAGAGGTATTTCCGTGGAACCCTTTTAGATGCAGCAAATTATGTTAGCAGATTGCCAGCTTTTCTGGAAATATTTATGTAATTTTGTGTGACTTTTATAATAGGTTAACATTTCCTGAGCTTTTGAGTTCTTGATTTGACAGGCCTGTTTTGATTTTTTACACAGTATCGCCAGGCATATACGGGAAACAATTCTTCGCAAATCCAAGCAGCTATGAAAGGTTTTGAAGAGGTTATAAAGAAATTTCCAAGGTGTGCTGAAGGCTATGCATTATATGCCCAGGTAAGTGTCATTTTTTCAGTTTCCAGTCCTTTTTTAAAGAGCTGCATTCATATGTTGACTCTTAGGGTAGAAATCAGAAAACAGTGCTTCCTTGGTTGCAGCTTCTGTGGAATCAGATGGCTTTGTTCTTGGTTTGTTTCTCCTGGTCCCCAGGATGGTCCTGAATCACCTTAAGAAGGCTTACTCTGTTATATACAGTTTGAAAACCATGGCCCTAAACTCAACATGGGGAAGCTTAGAGTATTTCCCTCATGTTTTCATTTGGATTGGATTTGCCAATTTAAATTACCTTAGGAAAATGTACTATATGTAATTGGTGGGAAAAGTGTCCTTGGAAAGGGTTTTCTTTGTATTTATTCACTATTCCTTTAAATGGTTAGATAGTCTATAACCACTCGTTTTAATTTCTCTGTAATTTGTCTAAAATTCTTGAGGCTTTCCTTAGTTTAGGATTGAAGCTATGGAAAGTAGGATTTGAATTTGAATTATTTTCACTTTTTAATTGTAGTCTGGTCTTTGAAAACTTTAAAGTCATCCATTGAAAATGATTAGCTTCTTATAGCCACAGTTAGAGTTTTTCCTCTAACTAAATGATCTCTGAATGACTGTTTTCTTTAAGTCTAACTTGAAAGCTACTTTTGGTATCTACAGAAACCAGCCATCCCAAAACTCTATCTATATATTTTCTATCTTAATTTCTTTATGCTACCTTTAGTCAAGTTATAAGAAAAGTTCCATAGAGAAACTTTTTGAGGGCTTGTTGAGAGGGACTTTGAAAAGATTGATTTCTGTTGGATCTGTTCTTTCAAAGGCCTACACATTACTACATGATTAGGGGTTGAAATTCTGAAGTATGAAGTACAACCCAGGAGTTCTTTAACCTCAGTTTGAAATCTCATCTATTCAGTCTTTGTTCATATAATTCCTAGACAGAATGACAATAATAGAAAGATGAAACGTTGGTTGCTGACTGCATGCTCAATTAATTAATTGTGAAAGCATGTACTATATAAAATTTTATAGAATGTATAGAACTTAAAATAGGATAAATGCACATTATAATTGTATGATATTTGTACTGAGTAGGCCCACTTGGGTTTAGGCCTTATATTTAATTAGGAGCAAACCAGAAAGTGACAGCAGCATCCTCATCACTGAGATGAAATTCAGAAGGGCTTTTTTGGTGCAGATTTCTATAAGCAGCTAAAAGAGCAAAGGCCACTGACTAGCTTTTAAAGAAACCAATACCAGGAACAACTCTTTTGCAGAGGTTTCCTAATTGCACATTTCTCTGTTAATTGTGTTAACTTCAAAACAGGTTTTGCCTTACTTGAGCATCTTCTTACCAGTACTTAGCATTATTACAAGTCTGTTTACACTAAAATTTCTAACCTTTGGTCCTGCTTCTGATGTGGTCTTCACTGTATATAGTAACTTTTTATTTATATATAGAGTTATATACAGTTACATAGCATAACCTTTTTCCTGAACTCGAGCTTAGATGCTGGCGAACTCTCAGAGTTAAAGTTTGAACATGATCTGAAATCCACATAACCAAGCCTTCCATTTCTGCCATGGAATTTGCCTTAAAACAATTGATTGTAGCTGCTTTTTTTCCTTTTATCAGTCATTTTTAAGGAATGACTAATAATAGTTAGCATACATACCTGAACTTACCCTTCCAAGTGAGTATTGTCTTAAAGTAATTCCCTTAGGATATATTATGATAAACTATGAATAAATACATGAATGTACCTGTGAGAATCTGGTATTAGAACTGGCACCAACACTGGGATTTTCTGTATTCTACAGTTTTTCTTAATCTCCTATTGAGAGGACAGTTAAGATTTCATATTTATAACAATGCTATGTAAAACCCCAGTAATTAAGATGAAACTTTTTTCTTTTAATTGAAGTACAGTCAGTTACAGCATGTCAATTTCTGATGTACAGTACAATGTCCCAGTCATGCATATACATACACATATTGGTTTTCATATTTTTTTCATTAAAGGTTATTACAAGATATTGAATATAGTTCCCGATGCTATAAAGAAGAAATTTTTTAATCTATTTTTTTATATAGTGGCTAACGTTTGCAAAACTCAAACTCTCAAATTTACCCCTTCCCACCCCCTTTCCCCTGGTAACCATAAGATTGTTTACTATAGACTGTTTCTATTTATTTTGTAGATGAGTTCATTAATATTTTAAATAAGTTTATATCCCCAGAACATAATTTGGTAATGAATGGTTAAATGAAGTAAACTTTAGTAATTGATAAGCAATATACTTTTCACTGCTTAGGGTGACAGTTAACCTAAATTTAACTGAAGTATCTCTTCAAATAGGCATTAACAGATCAACAACAGTTTGGTAAAGCTGATGAGATGTATGATAAGTGTATTGATTTGGAACCAGATAATGCCACAACATATGTTCATAAAGGGTATGTATTTTTGTGGTTCTATTTGTTCCAGTAAGAAACTAAATTTCTTGCATAGTAATAAGATGGATTTCTTTTGGTCATTGAGGACGGGGACTGAGAGAGAGAGTATGATTGAGTTAATTGACAAATTTCTTAATGCTCTGGATGTTTCACTATTTTTTTTGAAGTTTTACTTATGGTTCATTCTTATATAACAATTAGTAAATACGCTATTTCACTCTAGCTTAAGGATTTCAGTTCTGAACATCCTGTCAAGTGTTAGTTGTATCAAAATAGAAAACACGTGAAATAAGTTTTTCCTGTCCTAGTGTACTTGAATTATCATTTTAAACCTGCATTTAAATTTATACAAAGCAAAACATTAAGCTATGCAAGGTAGCTTAATAATAGAGCCTAGACCATTGTATACTCTTTTCATAATAAGAAATTTAGACTACAAAACCAATATAAATTGAAAAAAAATTGATGCTGATTCTATATTGTTTTAGATTTTGTTTTTCCTTGTAAATTAAATTATAAATTCATTGAAGCAGAAATTGAGCCCTGCTTTTATTCCTGGTGATACTAGGCCATGGTCACATCTGAGTGCTGTTTTGCATTTGCAGTTTACTTCAACTTCAGTGGAAGCAAGATCTGGATAGAGGTTTGGAGCTTATCAGCAAGGCTATTGAAATTGACAATAAATGTGATTTTGCATATGAAACCATGGGAACTATTGAAGTACAAAGGTAACTTCTAGAGTCTGTCCTTAAGAAATTTAGGGCAGCTCCACAGATATTTATTTTTTAATTTTCTCATTATAGATAGGTTATTGTCAATACTCATTAAATTTTTAAGTCTTAATATGTTATGCCTTTGGGGGCAAGATTTCCTTGAAGCTATACAACTTTGACTTGTTTCGTTTTTCCAATTTAAAAGTCACACTTACAGAAGTTGTTTAAATCACGTATACGCATTAGAAAGGGAAACTTGATCTTTTTCTAATACCTGTTTGTTCTTTCCTCTTTTCACCTGTATTATTTCCATTGGAGGGAGAAAAAAACATTCACAGTGTACTTACGCAGTAAGGGTAGCGTAAGGATTGGCAGCCAGGGTGCCCGATCTAGATCCTGCCACAGCCTAACTGCATCATCACCTCTGAGTGCAGAGTTTTCTTTAAAATCAAAGAGTTGGATAAGATTTTGTGCAGTTCTGACTTCCCCATAACTTCATGTCTTCTGTAAATGTTTGTTCAGAGTTGCACTTGAGCTCCATTAACAGAGGACAGCTGTTTATGCCGTAGAATGTAGTGTAGTATACCATCTTGATACTGGTGTTGCCATCTGTTTGAGAACTCTAGGCCAGCTACTGAACTTCAGGTGTTTTCCAAATATTAGTTCAGTTGATCTAGTCTTTATAAAGTTTGAGGTTCTGTGATCCTCAATTTAATTAAAGAGTGTAGGAATCAATGCCCAGACTGGTTGAATTAATAGGGTTGCATGGTGAGCCAGCAGTAGAAAGAGGATATAAACCCACATTTCACTGATGCCAAAGTAACTGATCTTGCCACCGTCACTTATTAGGAACCAGCAGGAGTTGTCTTAATTACCTGTCATTCAGCCCCTCCTGAGTCTTCTCTCTCTCTGCTCCAGAGTAGGCAGAATATATACAGGCTGAGGAAAATTTTTGTGATTCTTTTGAACCATTCTATACTGTGACTTGCATGTAAATATTACATTTTTTCTTAACTGCCAGTTTGTTAATGTGAATTACATTATTGTACTAGAATAGGATAAGGTAGTAGTTCTTAATCTTTTGAGCAAAGCTGTGGATTTTTCCTAGAATATTGCACATACAAAAACTCTTTGCATTTAAGTTGTTCATAGAGCCTGGGTTAAGGACCTCTGATTTATGGAATTTGATGAATTTTGTTTGTGTGTTAATTGTACTCTAAGAAATCCATTCTAAATCCTGCCTTACAAATAGATAAATGAATGTGAATTAATGAAATTGCTGATTATCCTAGGATTTAGCAAATCTGCCTACCTAATAATGAACTTTAAAAGTTATTTTTTTTAAATTAAGTCTGTCATGTAGCCATATCAATATATGTAGTGGGAGATTAACTGCAGTCACCCTAGAGGTGCATTGTACTTCTTAGAGTCTAACTGGCATATATATAGTAGGGACTTAATAAATATTTATTGTAAGATTGCATGCATATATGCATATATACTGGCCAATACTAGTTACTTAAAACAGCTCTTGGTTCTTGGCAGATATAAAAAGCCTAACCACAGTCAGGCTATAAGAGGTAAATTATATTTTTTTGACCAAGTATATTCATCCATTTATTCAAAAAACAGATACAGGTTATCAGGCATTGTACTAGGTTCTGAGAATTGAGAAGTGTCCATTAAGGATCACTTAGTAAGACTAAGGTGTAAACAAATTTATATTCACCTGACTATGCACAGAATGACAACAGAACTATGGGAACACTGGGGAGGGAGCAGCCAAACCAGGATAACTGCCTCACTAGAGGTAGTGAGGGAAAGAGAAAGTATTTTTCATGAGGATATTGTATTTGAACTGGGCCTTAGAAAGGGGAGGATTTGACTAGAATCAGGCAGAGAGGCAGTAAATAATCTGAGCATTATGAGCATGAGTGTGTGGCACAAAGACCTCAGGGAGATCTGTGTGTGTGGGGTGGGGATACTGATGAGGCTCACACAGACCTGTGAAAGTAAGGCCCCTGAACACCTTTAACGTTCTCTGAGGCTATGTCACTGCTTTCTAAAGGAGCCTCGTGATGCAGTGGAAATGTAGAATTTAGGAACCAGACAGGATTATGGTTTTAAACAAGTCATTTAATTTCTCTAGTCTCATTATTCTTATCTGTAAACAGAGACCACAAGTAGTATCATGTAAGCACATGGTATTTGTAATAGTAGCTAACATTCATTGAGTGTTTTCTATGTGCTAGGGATTTTTCTGTTATAAAGAAGCATTTTATTAGAATCATAGTTGAAACTTAAAGGTCAGGCTCCATGTAGCATCACTTACAAACTTCTTTGCATTCTGTGAAGTGCTTGTTGAATCTGAAGTTTCAAATTTTTGTTCTTTTAGAGGAAACATGGAGAAAGCCATTGACATGTTCAACAAAGCTATTAACTTGGCCAAATCAGAAATGGAGATGGCTCATCTATACTCACTCTGTGATGCTGCCCATGCCCAGACAGAAGTTGCAAAGAAATATGGTTTAAAACCACCAACATTATAAAATATGCGGGAAGGAAAATGACCCTGTTTTTAGAAGTTTACCCCTCCTTCAACTGAACCCTAAAGACACTGTCAAGAACTGTACTGAATGGTGGAACTTAGTATTTCCGTTTGTGCTGTTGTCATTCGTTACATCCGTTTCACATTTAGGTGTTGTGGGAGTGGCTGTTGAAGGAAGTTTGCAGTGTTGCAGCTTTTATTCCCTGTTCAACAAAAGCTTAGAACCTGTTAAAGGGATGTTAAAATAAAGTTGCAGAGTACAGATGATAATTGGCCATGCAAATAAAAACTTTGATTTGTTGATCTGGCTTTTTTTTTTGAGGGGCGTGGGAGAGGATGATTATGTTCTGGATGATTTTGTCTGTGTGTGTGTGTGTGTGTGTGTGTGTGTGTGTATATGAATATTTTACAGCATGTTGGTTTTAAAATTAACATAATAAGCGCTGTAAAATAGGATTCTTTTGGATTCGATTAATCTCTTTCAGTTGATTTTTTGGAAGAAAACAAAGCTTAAGTGGGGCTTTTGTTCTTATGGCAGCAAAATTAAGAGACGCTTTAAACCACCGTCAGCATGTACAGTGCCTCTGATTCTGCAGAAAGTTAGACTCAGTGGCAGCGCTTAAACCTTTTGACTCTCTTCAAGTCCAGTGGATGATGTACATCATGCTTAAAGTCCACAACAGCTGGTTTTCATACAGCCAACTATACAGAAGTGAGATATTCTAACTGATACATGTGCTAGAAGACTATTAATGGGAAAGCGGACCAGGCAAGAGGTAAGATGAAATGGAAATGTGTTTGTAATTGTCCACAGCTATTGTCTACCATAGGCACTACTATTTAATAGTGTACTTAAGGAGAAAAATGCAGGTTGGTTGTGTATATAAAGATGAAGTAAGTGTGGTAAGTAGTTAATTAGCTCAAAATTTCTAGTGAAGAAAATGTGGCTAAAGGTTCAAAAAGAATGTAACTCTCAAAGCCAGAAGCATAGCATTTCCTAAATGCTTCTCAACTACAACTATGTGTACTTAAGGAATTTTGAGCCAGTATTTTCAAAGATGCTGAGGACATGTGGAGTGCATTTTTGTTTTGAGCTAACCTTGGTCTCAAGGGCCTGACTACCCATCTGGTTCTTCACTAGGGATACTGACAGCAGATTGTTTTGTTGGTTTTACCTTTACCTTACCCTCTTAGAAATCACTTTATTATTTTTTTCCAATTTCCACCTTTATAGACCATCCTTTTGTTTATATGCTGGATTTTTCTGGTGGGAGGAGAGGTTGCGTTCTTTAAGAGTCTTATTTTGAGATATTCGGGGTGGGGAGAGGTTTACTTAAGTTTAATAAAACAGCAAGCCTTCAGTTGTATTTTTGGAAATGAAATCTGTCTATAGTTTACATTGTTGGCAGTAAATGAGCGTTTTTACCCCTCTTTAAAAGGGTGCTTTATCCTATTGAAACCAAAATATTTCATCTAAAATGCTATCTAGAAGTTATTAGAAATTACTCCCTTCCAAAGTCAGAGTCTGGAAATTTTTGAGGGGCCTCTAATTTGTGGGAGCAGTTAACATAATTTAAGATGGTTTGGATAACAAAGTATGAGAGCTCTGCATTTGAGTTCTAAATTATGCACCTACTATAATAACCTCTGCATATAGAAGTGTTCTACATCTCTGACTTAAAGTTTTTATCTGCATGGCTGTATTTACATTAACACTGATACTTATTTTCTTCTCTCTTCTCTCTTCCTACCCCTTGGGGTTGGGCAGAAAAACACACAAAGGAAACAGAAGCATGTGCCATACAATACTATCATTCCAAATCCTCATGGATTATTGCCTGTTCTGAAAAATATTTGAAACTGCACTGAAAGCTGCATCTGTATCTTTTCTTTTGTAAATGACCTCACATGTAAATTCACCGAATAAATATTACATTCAAGCTTTTCTATCTATTCTTTAAATAGATAGACAGACAGTATGTTCATTTACCATAGTACTGGGTAAGTTCATAATCATTCTCTTGTGGGCTCAAACTAACTTTGAAAATAGGAACATACTGGACATGTTTGTTAATATATGAAGCAATGTAAGTTTGGGGTATGAAAGATGAAGTTTCCCATCCTTCCTACTGGGGAAACAAAGCTCTAAGAAGAGCTAGTGGAGCCAGCTTACTTTACTCCTGCCTGTACCTTACCCGTACTTGCACAGCAGCCTGGAAGGTTACCTACCGGTCCTAAAACTGGTTTCATTGATGAGTGAGTGAGTTTTGATTACTTTTCAACCACTTGGGAGTCTTTCTTTAGGAAAGGATGCCTGAAAAAAAACCCTATCATCCTTGAGTGATTGTGGTATGAATAGAGATCTCAAAACAGTAAGAAGCTTTGGTTTTATTTTTTTTTAAACATTTATTGTTACTTATTTTGGCAGGGGGTGCCTATTAGGCTTATTTATTTTTAGAGGATTTAGAGGAGGCACTAGGGATTGAACCTAGACCCTCATGCATGCTAAGCAAGTGCTCTACCACTTGAGCTATACCCTTCCCAAGAAGCTTTGGCTTTAAAACACAATTCAGGTAGAACTTTCTGCTCTGGGAAGACTCAGTTTGTAGTTTAATAGTGCTTCTTCCCAGGAGGGTGTAACTGTCATCTTCTTAAGGCTGTTTAAAAACAGGAAGACTAATTTACCCAGGAAACTCTTGAGCATAAAAGTAATAATCAATCACTCAAGACTCTCCTGGGTAAATTGGGTTGTATGGCCTTTGTATTTATAAGGAAGTAACATAGGCGTGGTGATGGGAGAGGTAATAATCCTACCCTTAGTTCTTTGTAAAATGTTTGTGAACAAAGTGAAAAGAATTTTAACTTGACCTATTTGGAAGCCTTAACACACTGTGATAGAATGAATAATGGTTCCCCCAAAGAGACATACATCTTGATCTCTAGAACCTGTGAATGTTACCTTATATGGCAAAAGTGGTGGGGAAAATATCCTGGGTTATCTAGGTGGACTCCCAAATGTAGTTACAAGTGTCCTTGTAAAAGGGAGATTTCAGACAAGAGAAGCCAGTGTGATAACAGGCAGAGATTGGAGTGATGCTGCCACAAGCCAAGGGATGCTGGCAGCCACCAAAAGCTGGAAAGGCAAGAAAGGGTTCTGCCCTAGAGCAGAGCTTGGCCCTACTGACACCTTGATTTGAGCCCAGTGAAACTGTTTTCAGACTTCTGGCCTTCAGAACTATGAGTAAGTTTTTGTTGTTTTAGGCCACTAAATCTGTGGCAGTGTGTTACAATAGCCACAGGAAACTAATACAGACTCCTTTGGCTATTTGTCTATTCAGAGCCCAGGGAAACACTGGATCAATTTCTTTTGCTGGCACTGGAAGGTAACATGACTGTGCAGGTGCTTCCTAGAGGCCATGGGAGGGTTTGGCAGTTAGATAGGGCTCTACAGCAAATAAAGGGGGGGGGGGAGATCATGACTGAATCTGAGTCCTGGAAACCATTTTAGAGGGTATAGAGAGTTTAAAGCAAGGAGGACCAGCTAGAGGAGGTGGGATTCTGCACAGATGACCCATGCTCTAATTATCAATGGACTGCTATATTAAGCAAATTTTATTCCCCAGAATATCTGCTTTATGTCAAGAATTGTGACAGGTCTAAGATTTTGCCCTTGCAAACTACAGTTTTGTGAATGCTGGCAGAAGATGTGAGAACTGGATCAGAGAAGATGGACTGATTAGAGCATGGTAAGCAACATGAACTTCACATCCCACGGATGTGACCTGTAATAATCTAGGTGGAGGCTGCACAGGCCGTGGGTTTGTGTCACAGCTGAGAACTCTGAGCTTAGGAAACCCACATCTTAATGAGCCTGGCTATAAGCAAACAGGCCTGATTTTTGCATCAGAGGGAAACATTATTTTTGTTATACTGGTTAGTAAACAGACCTGTCCTACTGTGCTTCAGAAAGAGAGAACCTCTGTCTTCCAAAGCTGTTCACTTTATACAAATGTCTTTGAAAGGACAGTCTGGTAGAAAGGCTATCATTGCCTCTGTCTGTGAGACATGCAGAAATTTAGGAGACCTACAGAGAATGGACTGCCCATCTCTACATGTTCTTAGCTTTTATTAATTCATCTTGAGCTTAATCTTTCAGGAGTTTAGAGGATTACAGTTTCTATTTTGGACAACAGCATGGTGTAGGGAAAAGTATTACCGGCCTGGGCACCAGGTGACCTTGGTTCTAACACAACTTTCCACTGGCTGTGTGATCTTAAGTAAATGAAGGTCCCACCCAGCTCTAAATTATCTGAAGCTACTCCATGTCCTAGATCTTCCCAGATTAGAATCCCTTAGGGTAAGGGAACCATTCCAGAATATGTAGAAGTTAGCCAGAAAGCTTGCACATGAACAAGTACAAACTGTAGGAATGAATCACTCCAACTCAGCACTTACTGAGCACCCATCAGGTGGCTCAGGAAGTTCCCAAACTAGGATGAGTCTTGGTGCCATAAAGCTACATACACTGTGGTATGGAACACAGGACAGTAATAAATCCTGCTAAGCCTTGAGTAATTTAGGTAAGATTTAGGTAAGGAAATGGGGACACCAAAACACACACACACACACACACACACACAAAACTAAGTGAAGGCACATAATGAGTCTGAGCTGAAAATAAGCCATCCAAGTATAGAGTCTAGCAAGATGAAGCTATTTGTTGTTTTTTTTAAACTGGTAAGGAGATGCCGATAGTGGACCTATGTGTTTGAGAATTATCAGCCTATGTTTAAGACCATGCATGTGAATGAGATTACATCAGGACAAAAAGGACTAAAAAAAACTGGGAAATATCAACCTCTATGGGATAAAGGTGGCAGTGCAAAAGGGGTCACTGAGATGGTAACACCAAGGTCACACTGATGGTGTTGGGTTTCAAGGAGCTAAACGGACAGTTTGCAAAGAGATGGTTAGTAATCTCTGCCAAGGAACTGTCACTAGAATGGTGAGGGGAGAATCTGGCTACAAGGGTCTGAAAAGTGACTGAAAGACAAGAATTAACTAGTGAATAGAAATGACTCCTTTAAGAAACTGAGTGAAAAAGAATGAGTTTTTTACAGTATGGCATGGTTTTTGTTTTGTTTTGAGGGAGAAACTTTGAGAATGATCCTACAGATACAATAAGGGAAAGAATAGTTGTGCGCAAATGAATACATCTGCAGGGTTTAAAATATTGCAAGGAGAGCTAGGATCACAACACTTAAAACATTACTGCACCTTCCCCACCATGCTCCACTCTTCCAGATTTTTGGTCATTTGGTAAATTACAAATGAGCTACAAAGTAATCATTGAACAAGAGTTAATGTCCTTGTATGTATGTGTTTTAGGCATTTGACTGTAGATCTAGAGCTTAATTTTTTAATTTGTGGTTTTAACAAGGCCATTTTATACTAAGTGCCTTCTCTTCAACAACTACCTTTTACTTACCTTCCAATCTTCACTCAAAAAGAAAAAAAGCTAAATGAAGATAATAATTTGGCAAGAAATAGGAAGCTGTGACAAAAAGGTACGTATAAGGAATAGAGGAGAAAAGCCCGTATTAAGCCTGTTGCCCTGGCAGTATGTTTGGCCAGTGCAGAGATCACAAAATGCACATCTTTTCCCTTTCCATCCCCTGGCTTCATCAGACCCCTTCACCACCAAAACCTATACAGCAGTGCTTATGAAGCAGCATAAAAGATGAAAAACTAGTGCCAGTAGAGCAGAACATTCATCCTGAAACCTAAACTCTTGTCTAAACCCTTTTTTAAAAAGGGTCTAAATCCCTTTTTAGGGTGTTTTGCACAGATCTAACTTGGTAGCAGCAAGGAGTCCCCTAAATTGATGCCACAATCTGACTACTATTTAGTCATTTTAAACCCTGGAATGTTAATTCACTTGAAACCAATGCAACATCCATTATCTGTTAACTCTCAACTTCAGACAAGCTCAGTCAGAGTCAAGCCACATCTTCATTTTCATGACTGACTGCACATCCTGACTTATTGCAGCATCTGTTGTTATGCTTGTGAAGGAATCAGTTCCATTAGCTGAATGTGTTACCTCATCTAAACTGCAGGGGACAGATGTCTTAACACGTGGATAGTGGACTTCAAAGTATTAGACAAAAAAGTATCATTGCCTAACTCACTGAAAGAGTACAGGGGAATGACAGTTGTTTACACCTTTTCCATGGCCTTAAGTTGCAGTCTTCTCCCACTTTATGTGGACCAAATCCAGCATTCATTTTGATCAGATATCATTTTTCTTCAAGGTGGAATAAGGGGCCGTGTTACCACTTACTTTCTAAGAATAAAATATTACATACTAATAGGAGATGCCTACTCCATACACAGTCTTCAGATGCACCAGAAGGCAAGATGGCCTGGTAACAGCAAAAGGACAAGAAGACGTGCATTTATGATGAAATACAAAAACAAGTTTTAGAATCCATCTGCCACTGGCTGTTGTAGGAATGCTGTATAAAGGTGAAGTATCTTTTCAAAGAGGAAATCAGAAAATACCTCAAGACATACGTAAATAAAAACGCAACTTTCCAAAAATCTGTGGGATGCAGCATAACAGTTCTACCGGACGTTGCACCGTATACCAGAAATTGACACATTGTAACTGATGGTACTTAAATTAAAAAAAAACGTTCTAAGAGGGACGTTTAGAGCAATACAGGCCTACTCAAGAAACAAAAAAGATCTCAATCTACATCTAAAGGAATTAGAAAAAACAAAAACAAAAAACAAAGCCCAAGGTCAGCAGAAGGAAGGAAATGATAAAGATCATAGAAGAAATAAATAGAACGGAACAAGAGAAAACAGAAAACGCCAGTGAAACCAAGAGCTGGTTTTTTGAAAAGATAAAACTGACAGGCCTTTAGCCAGGCTCTTTAAGAAAAAAAGAGAGAACCCCCAAAAAAGAAATGAAAGAGGAGAAATTATAACCAATGTCAGAGATTTAAAAAAAGAGAGAACACTATGAAGAATGATATGCCAACAAATGGGACAACCTAGAAAAAATTCTAGAAACAATCTTTCAAGACTGAATCAAGAAGAAATTGACACTCTGAACAGGCCAATCATTAGCAGTGAAATTAAATTAGTAATTTTAAAACTCCCAGCAAACAAAAGTCCAGGACCAGACAGCTTCACAGCGGAAAGCCACCAAAATATAAAGAAGAGCTAATACCTGTCCTCAAACTATTTCAAAAAAGAGGAGGGAGCACTCCCCCAAATTCATAAGGCCAGCATCAATCACCATGATACCAAAACGAGACCAAGACACTACAAAAAAGAAAATTACAGGCCAGTGTCTCTGATGAAAATAGATGCAAAAATCCCCTACAAAGTATCAGCAAACCAAATTCAACAATATATAAAAAGGATCATACACAGTGATTTAAGTAGGATTTATTCCAGGGATGCAAGGATGGTCCAATATCTGCAAATTAATCAATGTGATACACCACATTAACAAAAGGAATAAAAATCACACGATCATCTCAATAGATAATGGAAAAACCATTTGACAAGATTCAACATCCATTCATGATTAAAACTCACCAAAGTTGGTATAGAGGGAACATACTTCAACATAATTTATGACAAACCCATAGCTAACATCATAATGGTGTAAAGGTGAAAGCTTTTCCTCTAAAATCATGAATAATAAGTGGAATGGCGTCATGGATGTATACATGTGTTAAATTCTGCCAAGCTGTACACTTAAAATCATTCGCCCTTTTCACTTGAACCCTCCTGAGTACACTGTGCTGTTTCTCAAAGGTCAAATCGCACGTGATAATGTCATCATCCTTATAGCTAATAGAGTGTGTGTTCGTGTATTCTTTTAAAATTCTGTCTTATTTTCCAATATGGTAAATATCCATACAGATGTAAACAGCAGTGTGCTAGAGCAGAACTGTACCAGCACACAAGTGCTGACTGCGCACCTATTCCCAGCTCTGTGTTGAGGTGTTACATTGATCACTTGAGTTTGGTAGTAAGTACGCCGTGGAAATTGGCAAATGCTACCACAAAATCGACTTTTTCTCCGACAGCTGGTTGTTAAACATTTACCAGTTCACCACTAGCTATAACATACATAAACAAAAGCTCAATGGAATTAATTTTTAATTGTGTAAAAGGACTCTGAGAACCATTAGGCTAAAAACTGGCCTTTACGAAGCTAAAAGTGTTACCAGGGAGAAAGCAAGAAGAAAGACTTTCAGACACTTATCTTGAGAAAATCTCTGGCAGAGACTCACACTTCACTGGCCTTGACCAAATTATGCCACAGCCATTCTCCCAGGGGGCTTATGGCTGAAACAGTGTTTCCCCTAAGACCAGGGGGCTCTGAATCATTAGCTCCTTCTTGAATTTGAAGAGCCCAGAGGCTGCTAGGAAGGGTGGGGCTACTATCTCCTCTAACAAACATCACCTTGCTTCCCACAGCTACTCACAGACCAAAACGTAATGCTTAGGTGCTGCTCAAAGAAGAGTAGCACCAGACCAAGTTTTATACATAATGATTCCAACTCCAGCAATGTATCAGGTGATTAACCACCAGGATACCAAGAACCACCAGGATACCAAGATCTGATACTTTACTAACTGCTTTGAGGCACCTCAAGTACAGAAGGTTTACAGCCATCCCTCCTCCTGCCCTTCAGTGCCAGCCGAGTCCTTTGTGACTGTTCACTGTGGTGTGGAGAGTATCAGCGTCAGTTGATGCTCCATCAGCTCTATCATCTCAGACTCCCTTCCCAGGAAGAGAAAAGGCTGAAATTTAAAAAAAAGAAAGAAAAGAATCTCCATTAAAAGAATTCGGCAGGGAGTTGATAATGTTGCAGAAACATATCTTCTGTTTCATGGCACATTGAGAACAAACATTAGGGCTTTTTTGCTTCCACTGCATAGAGGTCTGATCGCTTCTGGCTAAAAATGGGGATTTGCTGGCGTATTTCAGCCAACTTCTTCAGGTCTGCAAAAACAGGAAAGTGCACTATTAATAAGAATGTAATTCCTTATTGACCAACAGGAATTTCCTCCCCAAACAGTATAAAAACAACCAGAGCCTCAGCAAGTACCTTACAGGCCTGGTCTAGAGGCACAGACAGCCTGGCGCTGCCCCTGGGGTCATTTCACACCAACCCAAGAAAACCCAGGGCTTGGACAGAGAACCAAGGGTAAGTGAGGGGGTGGGGCATAAAGGAGCCCCTCCAGGTGACAGGTTTCATGGCTTTAGAATCTGGCCTCAAAGCTATGGGGACCCCAGGGACCTAAGCTGTGCCAGAGCAATCTTACCTATGTCTGAATACACAATCGTTTCTTCAGTGCCAGCTTGGGCAAGGACCTCCCCCCTGAAAAAGATTCAGGCGAGGATGAGTGGATCCACTGATGTCTCCTGGTATTCAAGATCTCTCTGTTTCTCCTCCCCACCTCACAGGTCATAGGGGAAGGAATCTGAGTTTTACAACAAGAAGGTACGGGCATAAATTCCTGTTCTACGATTTAAGTAGCTGTGTGGCCTTGCAGCAAGTCATCTGGAATCTCCATTCCTAATCTATACAGTGGAAATAAAAGCTCTGTGTGGACTTAGTGAGAAAATTATAGAGTATGTTTTGTAAACTGCATACTGCTAGGGAATGGTAGTTACTCTAAGATTGATGGAAGAAATGTTCACATACTGAGGTATGGGGAAGTCATTCTGGCTTATACATCATTTACCATAAACTTTATGCTAACTAGAGCAGCCCATCGTGCAGCCTATCAAACAGACATTGTACATCTGCTTTAACCATTAAAGAAAAGGGTGCACTGTCCAGAAGTAAGGAGTCCATTTTGAGAACAGAGATAAATGCCTCCCTTCCTGGGACATCCCACCTGGGGACAGTGGGGTGAGGCCTGGGCAAGGCCCAGATCTGCTCGGATCATCCCTGGATTCCTAGGCTCATGGTTTTCGGTTTTTGAGGGAAAGGTTTCAACTTATGGGGCCTGGGTAGAGTGGTGGAACCAAACCCTGGCAGGAACCACACACTTGGAAACAGCAATGCTCCATAAACTGGGGGAAAGGCTAATCTGGAAAGCTATTTCCAGTGCTGAGTCTCTTGGCCCAAAACAGGGCTTCAAAAACATCTGTGAAATAAAATTTCTCCAAAGCACAAAACAAAGCAATCTGAGATAACAAACAATCTGACAAAAACTGTTTCCATTTAACAGATGGTCACAGATTTTTGGCACAATGAGCTACTAACACTGTCATTAATGCCATTTAACTGAATCCTTTTCTAGTCTCTTTTATTTCTTCGCCCACGTGCCCTGGCATCCAAAGATCTCTATGTTAACCCCAGGCACCTATGCCAACACTAACATAAGCCAGAGGGCCCACAAACCTATCGGGGAATTCTGAAAGTGATATAAAGGTAAATCTTACACAACTACTTTGTCAGAAGCAGTCAGCTTGATCAGTAACAGAGTTCATCAGGAGAACTAGCGGGGAGGAGAGCTGCCCCAACAGTCAGGAAGCCAATCACTAACATCTGGGCAGAGGAACCTGAATCAAGTTTGAGAAAATTTTCAAGCCAAGTCAGTGCTTCCAGTCTTTCAATGTCCCCCAAGTCCTAATGCAAAAGAGGATCACTGGGAGTCTCTCCCTGGTCATAGCTTCCAAGGCCTTTCCCCTAACACGCTTTGATCTGTGGGTCCTATAAGGTCAGACGAGGAACCTTCAGGAACCCCACCGTGATACTTAAGCCATCACAGCCTTGTCACTGGCATATTTATCCTGAAACTGTAGCGATACCTACCTGTGTGTGTGTCCGTAATCATACAGACATACAACAAGCAGTATGGAATACATGGAAGTTCTGAATTCAAGTCCTGGATCCAAACACTAGTTCTAGCCACTTTATCCTGTGACCGTCAAGTCTACCATCTATAAACTGAGTTTAATAAAGATAAGTCCCGGAGAGTTCAAATTGAGATAATGTGTGTGAAAGTGCTGTGTAAACTGTACAGAAGCCAGTAAGATGTGTCTGTATAACATAGGATTGTGTATGTAACTGGGCAGACCTCCATGCTGGATTCACTAAGTAATAAAATGCTTTACTTTCTCACAGAGGACGAGCTCACAGCTCCCCTAATTCAATCCATCCTCCACTCTCCACTAATCATTATACAGGGAGCAAAATTCTCACCCTGTAACTCATTCCTGTCCTGGAACCAGTGACTCAGTCTAAATTTTAACCAAAAGCAAAGATTTGGGGAGCCTCTTTTACTAAAACCACCCACCTGTTACTGCCGCGTTGTTTCCAAGTTTGATTGACAACAAAAGGCATAGAAACTCAGAAGAGGGCTAAGACCAAGCATTCAGCCAGGAGAGCAGGACTCTCTCTCTCTCCACGGTTTTAGAGTGGAATCTTCTCTCACAGAGAGAGGAAGAGACCAGGCAGGCATGTGGGGTCTGGGGGTGGAGGGAGGGGCAGGGCCAGTCAGGAATCAGACAACCCACCTGCCCAACTGCCATCTCTCTCGAGCTCCTGCTGAGCCTGCCCCTGCTTAGCCAACTCACCAAGGAGTCACAACGGTACTGTGTCCCCAGGCGACATAGGACGCTTTGTCATCCCGGGCAGGAGATGCTGTGGCCACATACACTTGATTGTCAACAGCACTGTAGTCAACGGACAGAAAAAAGGTAAATCGTACATTACATAGATCTGTGACATTTTTCTATCCTAAGTGAACAGATCCTACTTTAAAAAAGTAGGACAGGAAAACAACAACTAGGACAGGACAGGCTGGCTTGGATGTGGAGAGAAGTATCCAAAGCCACGGAACATCTCCTCAAAAAACGTCTCACTGCATAAGCCAGCACCCCACTGGGGCAGTTCTGCCCAGCAGGGGACACTTGCCAACGTCTGGAGTCCTTTTCGACTGTCATGACTAGGGGGTTGCTATTGGCACCTAGTGGGTAGAGGCCAGGGCTGCTGCGAAACCCCCTACAACACACAGGACAGCCCCCGCGAGAAAGAATTATCTAGTCCAAAATGTCGATACTGCCACAGGTGGGAGACCCTGGCCTGAGCCAGCCTGTAACATGTAAAAGAGCAAAGCTTCTCTGGTTGAGACAGTCGAGGTGTCAGAGAAAAGGCAATGGCCTCGCTGGGACAAACACCTTGCAGGGCTGCAGGGCGCTGCCATGCCAGTGGCGGCAGTCCGACCATCTCAAATGAGGCAAGAATTTCAGAGGGCAGCCCAGGTGCACCAAGCCACCTGACCCGGAGCCCTCTGGGCTCGATCAGCAGATCCACGCCAGGTTGTCCCAGTCTCTCCCAAGCGTTTCTTGCTCTCGACAGACAGCACTCATGAATACTCATGGCGTCACATACCCCACCCCACCCTCCACCATGCAAGACACTTCCACATGCCTTCCAATTGCCATCATCTGTAGAAGTGAGCAGAGGGACCACCTCTGGGCAGAGAGAGGAGTACTGACTGAGAAGGAGCAAAAGGGAATATTCCAGGGACAAAGAATGTTTCAGACGCTGATCTTGCTCACAGGTGAATACATAAGTAAAAATTCCCTGACCTGTAAACTTAAAACCAGTACGCATTTCCCTGAGTATATAGTACCTCAGTTTTAAAAACCTTTTATGAAAAAAAGCGATCTCTGACCAGTATTTCATGGTTTACAACCCACTTCGCACAGTCACTCCTTTTCCCTTCCATGTTACACCCACCTCTGCGACCTGCCCTTCCCCACTCCTCAGCCTCAGGGAACTGAGGAAACAGCAATTGTGACACAAGCCTCGTATACCTGTGCGGTGCTTGGGACATAGAGGTTAGAAGAACTTACGAAGGGTTTCCTGGCAGTGTACCAAGGCCAGCAGGAGGTTGTGGAGGACGGAGCAGGATTAGCACCCAATCTGAGCAGCACAGGGTCAGCAGAGTGAAGACCACAAATCTCTCCCTAGGGCTGTCAGGCTAAAATAACCCCTGCCTTTTCCTTGGCTTCTCGGGCTCTGAACACATACATTCTGTGGATCTCCAATTCTCTGTAAAAGTTGCTGGCAACTCTATCAGAAACACCAATCCATATCTGACCACAGAAATACGAAATCACTGTCCACTCGATGCAATGCTCTTGGAAATGCAAAAATCACAGTCCCCAGAATCCATGAGACTGGTGGTCCTGTGGCTTCTGAGAAGGTGCCCAACAGCAAAGGCCCTCCTTTTGGACTGGAAGATGAAAAGATGCATCTTTTTGAAGTGCATTGGGATGCTGGGGCATCCTGAGTTAGGGGCAGCATTCCATATGGGGAAGGCTGGTACGTCCACCAAACTGGAAACACTTCCACAAAGAAACTCTGAAACGCCTGAAGGTGTGCTTGAGATGCTTTCTTACCGGCCTCGCTGAAGCAACTCCCAGTGAGCTGGTCCGGTGGTCAAATTAAAAGCTCCAGGATATACCAACAGCTGGCAGCCTTGGGGAGAGAAGGGCCACAGAAGAGTGGATGCAGGTGGACACCCAACCACCACTAGTCCTTCCCTTTGCTCCTTCCCCAGCCAGGACCAAACTCAAACTTTCCCAAGCATGAGAAGATGCAGCCAAGTCAGACAGTGTCGGCAGCATTAAGTATGGCTCTAAATTCCTTAGAGACACACAAAACACATACACACAAGCAAAGTGGTGCTGATGACCAAAACCACAACACATGACTTCTCTTAAAAAAATGTGGGAAACTGGCATTCAGATTCCTCTCAGAACCAAACAGTCAGCTATAACAGCCAAGGACCATGTTTTTAATGCTTTTCAACTGAAGTGAGGGGCAGGACAAGTGCTCTATCGCTTATCTTTAAGACTCAACTGAGACTGCCAAACCAGAGACCTTGTGCCTCCTCCTTTTGCTGAGCAGAGTAAGTTATTTGCACCCACTGCACTTTAAGTGCCAAATGAACAGGAAACAGAGCACCTTCATTAGTCTAGGAGGGAAGCTAATATTTGCTGAGTACCATACAAGGGGCTTTATGAGCTCTCTCCCTAATCCTCACACCATTTCTATGAGAAAACTGGACCCACACTGCTCTAGGGAGTAAGTAATTTACCGTAAGTATTGTGCCAATCAAGGGGAAGAGATGGAATCAGAACCCAGATCTGCTCTGGCTTGGTGCTTCTCCAAGATGGCAGGACACGCTTTACCTGGACCAGATGTCACTGACTACATCCCTACTGCACCCATCATCTAGGACCAGTGAGTGGTTAAGCCATGAGCACATAAGCCATTTCTATTGGGCCCCAAATGACTCTTTTCAAACACAGTAGCAAGAAGGGCTTGAAGGTAGAGCAGATGTTTAGTTTAGAAGCACGGCTCCTGTCTTAGCTGTGTAGTGTATTAAATTACAATCTCTGAAAAACTATATTACCCAAACGCAGCAGAAGTCTGAGAAGCCAGATGGGGCAGAGAGAATTAAGACCTCTCCTCCAGGTTTTCTGACCAAAGGCTCCCTCCACCCACAAGACCAGCCCAAACCGAACCTCCCAGCACCCACATGACCGTCATGCTGCCTCACCTCTCTGCGCGTAGATTTGTGCCAGCTCTGCAAAGCGGAGGTCATAGCAGATGCCGAGGCCCACTCTGCAGTAAGCTGTTTTCCAAACAGAAAAGGTACAAACAAAATGTTAACCCCTGCAGCCCGGGGCAGCAGGAGCAAGCCTCCATGACCTAATGAGCACAAAACACTGGTGGAAACACATTCACACAGGGCCTGCGGACGGAGAAAATTCATAAGCTTATTCCTACTTGGACTTTAGCTCATGAAGAGGTCATTTATGTCAGCAGAGCAGAGATGAGAAATTCGTTCCAATTGAATACCTCTTATCTAAATGGGAGGTGTTCAACCACCACCGAACAGGTACGGGCTGGACACTGTCATACTAATAAAAGGCTATGACTAAAATGGAGGGCAAAATCATGTCAAACCCTTGGTTCTCCATTCAGTCCACCCTTTCTAGATCTCTGGCCATCCGCTGCCCTTCTCACTTCTGGTCTTCAGTCAGGTTTTATGAAGAAGTTGGGGAGGGACAGAAGAGAAGAGCAAAGGAACACCTGATCTTCTTCCAGTGGGACTGCTAAAAGGGGTGAACTTATCTTGTACGTACGAGTATCAAATGTGGAGAAACTATCACCAGGACTCAGTGTTTTAGATTCTTGAAATGTGATTTTCCCAGGAACATCAATGTCAAACAGATGAAGCTGCAGCACAAATAATGGGTTTGGTTACCTCCTTTCCAGCAGGGGGGGTGGCAGTAACAACAAATGTCCTTCCACAGCCAGCGGTGGGGGGGGCCGACTGGATAAGCAGCACCCCGGACCGCCCATAACCCAGCCCTCAAGCTGACCGTCATCGTATCAAAACAAACTCTAACACAGGGAACTGGAAAAAATGATGCTGTAGGTTTTATGACCCCTCCTTTCCTCAGTGGTGTGCAAATCAACATCTAAGTTTCTTATGGAAAACAATTAATGTGTTGCTTTTTCAGTTGGTATAAAAGCTAAATGAAGACTTCTCAGAATCAGAATCACACTGACACATTGGCAGGAGAGGTGAAGAGTGAGTGAGTGATCAAAAATAGGTAAAATTTTACTAACCAAATGCAGCAATACATATAAAAAGTAACACATCACTCCCAAATTCGATTTATATCGAAACCAAATGTGACTTAACATTAGAAAACAAACAACATAATTTACCACACTAACAAAGGAGAAAAATCATATGATCACCATAAGAGGTGCATAATGGGAATTTGGTAAAGTTCTACATCCATTCTTATTTATAAAAAACGAAAGAGAAAATCTCTTCAAGGAAGGGAACCCCCTTAATCTGATAAAGAATATCTGCAAAAAACCTTAAAGAAACATCATATTTAATGGTGAAATATTAAAACCCTTCTCCTATTGAGATCAGAGACAAGGTAAGGACACCTGCTATTCAACACTGTACCAGAGGTCCTACCCAAAGCAACAAAGCAAAAGAAAGGAATAAAAAGTACAAGGAGTAGAAAGAAAGTGAACTATTATTCTCAGATGATATAACTGTGTACCTAAGAAACGTCAATGGAAATCTACAGGTAAATTATTAGAATCAATGAGTTTGGCAAGGGTACTACATACAAGGTCAATATATTTTAAATTAGTTGTATTATATACTAGCAAGAAACAGAGGCTAGAAGGGCATCAAGAAACACCAATTAGGAATAAATCTAGCAAATGATATACAAGACTTTACCCAAAAATTATTTTAAAAATTTGAGAGAAATTAAAGAAAGCCTAAATAAATGGAGATTTTATAACTATCTATGTATCTCATATTCATGGACTGGAACACTCAATCCTGAAAGCATGCAGTTTTCAAAACATAAGAGCTGGGTTAACAGCTCAGTGTTGGGTCTTCTTTCAGTAACGGCAGAGTGGCTCCTATCAGACCAGCTTTCTCACAGATAACTGTGCACTCTGGACAAAATAAAAAACTATTTAAAGGCACTTGAGAATAATTAAAATCACACAAAAAGAGAAGCCAACACGTGGAAGAAGGGATGGCGCCGGCTGAGTTTCCCATTTATCTGCAGCTTTTAGTTGGAAACAAGGCCCCGGCTGTTGCTCGGAGTGGTGGTGACAGCCACCCACAATCACTCTAGCTGAGGAACCAGAGGATGGAGTTCACGGCAGCTGTAAAGAGAGGAGGAAATCCTGAAAGGGAGAAAGCCCAAGAACAACAACTAATATTTCACACATCAAATCTGTCCAGACTTCTGGCCAACCAATGAACTGAAGATGTGGGGCAGGCTCCAAGCAGCCCAGCAGAACTACACAGCTTTACAACAGAACAGAGCAGCTGAAGTTGCTGCCCACTTCACAAAGGAAAAAGAGTTTGGTGTTTGAGTATGCCCGAATTAACTACTTGCTAAAACAAAGAGTTAAACACTTCTCAGAGGAATGTAACGGCAGCTAGAATCTCAATAAAATACAACCCAAAATTACTAGACACACAAATATCTAAAAGAAATCTAAATCTAGACCTAAAATCTAAAGAATAGGCAGCAGTGGAGCAGACCCCAACAAGACCCAGATGTGATACTTACCAAAGACTTTAAGGCAGCTAGTGAAACGAAGCTCAAGAGTGTAAGGAAAAATATGCTCTTAATGAATAAACAATAAGAAATATCAGTAGAGAATAAAAGCTACAAAAAAGAACAAAATGAAAATTTTAGAAATGAAAAGTACAATAGCTGAAATTTTACAACATTTCACTGGTTTGGTTTACAGGAGATTGGAGATTACAGAAGAAAGACTTGGTGAACCTTAAAACAGACCAATGGAAAATGTCCAGTCTGAAGAAGACAGAGAAAAAAGGTTGAAAAACAAAAATAAAAACCAGCCTTAGTGACCTAGTTTGGTGAACAGTATCAAAACTGCAGTCACTGGGACACAAAAATATTTAACAAAATAATGCTCCCAAGTTTCCTACATACAATGAAACACTTAAATTTACAGACTCAAGAAACACAAAGCATGACAAATACAAAGAAAATCATAGGTAGGAATATAAGAGTCAAAACGCTAAGAACTAAAGCTCACAACAAGACCTTGCAAGCAGGCAGAGAAAAACACAAATTGCATGCGGGAGAACAATACAAATTACCAGTGCTTATGGTGGGGGAGCGGGGAGAGGCCAGAAGATGACTGAATAATGAATAAAGTCTCTTAAACTTCCAAGGAAAAAAGAAAACTGTCAACCCAGAATTCTGTTCCATCAAATTGTATCTCAAGAATAAAGGCACAGTAAAAATATATCCATAAATAAAAACTAAAAGAATTCATAGCTAGCAAATCCTCACTACAGCAATTCTAAGGAGGGTCCTTCTGTTTGAATGCAACAATAACAGACAGAACTAAGCTCTTCAGGAAGAAAAGAAAAATATCTGAAATGGTAAATATTTGGGTAAACATAAAATATTTCTCTCAATTTAAAATACACATGACTACTTAAATTAAAAATTAGTGTTTTGTAGGATGTATAATGTATATAGATACAATATGTATGCTAACCATAGCATAAAGAATGGGCCTATATGATTGCAAGTTTCTTAAATTTCACATGAAGTAGTGTAATCTTCACTCTAAGTAGACTGCAACAAGGTAAGTGTGCATATTGTAATCCCCAAGCCAACAAATTAAAAAAAAAAAAAAAGCAAACTAATACTCTATCCAAAAGAATGCTGAAAAGAGGAACAAAGGAAAAAAATAATTAAATGCCTATATGCTTAAAATCCAACCATATCAGTAATTACATTAAATATAGAGTAACCACTCCAGTTAAAAGGCAGAGATTGTCAGAATGAATAAAACCGCAAGACCCAGCTATATGCTGTCTCCAAGAGAATCATTTTAAATATAAAGACACATATAGACTGAAAATAAAAGATTAGAAAAAGATATATCATACGAACAGTAAGTATACGAAGCCTAGAGTGGCTACAGTAATATCAGAGATAAACTTCAAGACAGAGTACTACAAGAAAAAAAAAAGACATATCATAATGATAAAAGGATCAATTTACCAAGAAGACTTAACAATCCTAAATGTATACGCATGTACTACTACGGCAAAGATGTCAACTCTCCAAAGTGATCACTGTATGTTCAGTACCATCCTAATCAAGATCCCTACAGGTTTTTCCTTACCTGAAACTAACAGGCTGAGTCTACAATTTATATCAAAATGATAACAGCCAAGAACAGCCACCTGTGCCAACTAGTCAAATGCCTGATGGGTATACAATATGATGAGAGGGACTGGGGGCTTCAGAGCAAGTTCTCCAAAGGCAATGAGACTTGCCACCGTCTCTACTTACCTTTCTGTGCTTTACCAGTAAAGTTCCATCAGGCCCAAACACGGCACAGGTGTTATATAATCTCCCGGCATCCTCTTCCGGGATGGAACCTTTCATTGAGAGCAGAACACACAGGCATAGGAAATATTCTGAGTAAAGCACTGTGATGATAATAGCGAGAAAGCTCAATAAAGTTTACTGTCTTCTTGGGTCCAACAATAAAGAATATTATCTTCTAATATTCCACTTAATTGTGGTTTTTTTTCTTCTGGAATATGATTTTTCACAGATAAACTTCAGAGTGCAGATGAAATGCAGTTAGGTCAGATGCCAAAGGCAGGTTTCAAAAATAACAACGTTTCTGAATTCACATTTGATCTTGAGCAATACTTAATCCGGAGCATTGGCACAACATGAGAATTCGCTGTTGCTCAACTTAAATTCACCAGGTCCTGCCACATAAGTGTATCCAAAGAGGCCTTGAAGTAGGAATATAACACAGTCTCTCCATCACTGAATATGGGCCTGCAGTTCTATCTCTTCTTGCTTTGCCTTCTTTTCTCCACTTTTATTCATTTTTAATTCTTACTGTGTCATAATACAGAAATAATTGCTTGCTATATTTTTATTAAATCATTTTATTGTATTGATTTTTTATTTAAATAGAACATTTTTTATTTAAGCAAAACCACATAAATAAAGCTACTTTTTAAAACTGAAGTATAATTGATTTGCATATTATATTAGTTTCAGATGTACAACATAGTGATTCAATAATTTTTATAGACTGTACTCCATTTAAAGCTATTACAAAATAATGGCGCCATATTCCTCTATGTTGTACAATATATTCTTATTGCTTATTTACTTTATGCATAAGATTTTGCATCTTCTAATCCCCATCCCTGTCTTGTCCCTCCCCTTTCCTTCTCCCCACTGATAATGCTAGTTTGTTCTCTGTATCTATGAGTCTGTTTGTCACATACATTCCTTTGTTTTCAATTTTTTAGATTCCACATATAAGTGATAGCATACAGTATATCTTTCTCTGACTTATTCCACCAAGAGTTAATACTCTAAGCTACCTTAGATGTATGTGGTCTCTTTATGGGAAAAAAAATATTCTTAACACCGTATTAATGAAAGACATTCAGATAATGGCTTTTCTTTCCACGTCTCCACCTACCCCTGCACTCCCAACTCCCTCTCCAGGAAATCATCATTATCAGTTTGTTGTGTGTCTTTCTACAATATTTACTATGTCTTACATGCATCATTACATAGAAAAATATATAATCTTGTTTTATGTGGAGCATTAATCTGTATAGGAGTACCTGTTTGTTTCATATTAAACCTGCTCTTTTTCCACTTAGAAGTGTATCTTGAAGATCTTTCCACATTACGACATAAAGATCTACTTTATCAGATGTTCTTAACCCTTAGGCCATTATATCTTGAGGGTAGGAATTTACCTCCAATGACAAACACGCTGCACTCCTTTGCTACTTCAGAAAGCTTCTGTGTGGAGTCACCAGGAATTTTCTCTGCATATTCAGGAAAATATTTTGTGCCATATGGAGAATTAAAGCATTCCTGTAATAACAGTGGCAGAGAAAAAGGGGGAAAAAACACCGTAACACCCAACTCATTTTAAAGTTCTGTTGTAAAAAGACACAGCTCTCAAAGAGGTGAAACACAGCATCTGACACCTTGGGGCCAAAGAGACCGCGGCCATAGACAGGACTCAGTCATGGTCTGGGGCCGGAGGAGACAGGTCAGCGTCCCCCAGACCCGGTCACCTGGCAGAGGCCGGACCTGCCCCTCCCGCGCATCCTAGGGGAACTATGCGTGCCCAACCTTGGGCACCAGGACCCCAGTACCACTAGGCTTACTCAGAGGATTCTGGGTGATGAATCTATCGTCTCAAAATTACACTGGTAACTATGTAAAGCAATAAAGCCTGTGTTTTTAAAAAATGCAGAAGCTCTGAAAGCCACAGAGGTTAAGACGTTTCCTGGTGTATAAAAGGCTGTTTCTAAGCTCCCTTCCAGCACCATCATCCTGATCCTGCAAAATCTCTCAGTTCCCCAGAATGTGTGTCTTCAACAGCTCTCTGATAAAAGAAAAGCAAAACTACTAGATTTCGACTCTAGTTCATTCATGTCTCATTTGTTGAGATGCCTGCGCACCAGGCGCTACGCTAGCAAACTCAAGGCCAAGGATCGCCAGCTGGTACAAGACACATGTTAGGTAGAGGGGACACATGCAGAATTCAAGTGCTTTCACTCCCGGCCTTTAGACTCCGACCCCCAGCACCTTAAACCAACAAGAGACCGTGATCAGGGTACATGTACAGGTGAATCCCACGACTGGAGCAACGTTAAGATCTCGAGCTCCCTTGTTAAGAGTCCGACTCACTGACCACACCTGTGACAGCATGGAGCCTAAAATACAAGGTGGCCGTGAAAATTCTCCCAGTTTGCAAAGGGCTGCCTCCTCTCCATAGAGGGAAAGGCAGAGTGAGGCAGGGGACGGTCTGGAAGAGTTCCACCACTGACCCCAGCGGCCTCTGCCAGTAGAAGATGCCAGGAGATGCATGTCCCGGCACGTGCAGGACCTCCGCTGGGGCCGACCCTGTACCTGCTGACAAACCAACGTGGTACCATCTTCAGCTGATTCTGTTCTAAAAGAAATCACCTGGGAAACAGAGGCTGCGTCCTACTGGCTCACTACAGGCTACCACATTTTGGAAGATACCACAGGCTTCCTATATGTATCTAACAATATTCAGTTTTCAATAATTTTTTTTAATGTTGGCGGTTTAGTGGTAAAATCAATAGTCCTGGTCCTGCAAAGACTTAATTAACAAGGAAAGAAGGTAAGTATCCGAGGCCCTGAGGTAAGTCCCTCAACCTACCAGGTTTCTGAACCCAGCCAAGTTAGATCCATAACCATGCTGGCACGTCCTGTCACAAAGACCCTCACTAGGGTCATCTTCCAGACAAACAAGGAACAATCCTAGGGCCCCAAAGGACCTTGCTGGACCCCGGAAACAGGAGGACACGCAGATCTAGCAGACAGTATTCTGCTGGGACAACAGTTCCCAGAAAAGGGTGGCTGCTCCCATACTTACTGGCAGAGAAACTATCTTGGCTCCTTGCTTTGCTGCCTCCCGGATAAGGCCACAAGCTCGAGTGAGGTTATCCGATTTGATGGGAGAAACATGAAGCTGGATGAGGGCCAAGCGGAAAGCTGAGGATGAGGATAAAGAAAACAGCTGTCAGAAGATCTGATGCTGAATCAGACAGAGTAGCACTTCTCCACAGAGGGCAGGTGATGTCCGGAGACAATGCTGATGGTCATGGCAGGTAGGGTGCAACTGGCATCGAACGGGGAGAGGTCAGGGACACTGCCAAACATGCCACAGTACGCGTCCCTCACAACAGTTATCCAGCCAAAATGTCAGTGACACGGAGGCCGAGGAGCCCTGAGACAGAGCAACATCCGGGGGCAGAGCCCAGTCCAGGCACGAGAATCAGAAGTCGACGGGGCCAGCTTCTCCCTTACAAATGAGAACGTGGCTGGAAGAAAGAAGACTGGGTTTGAATAGGGGGCTGCCCCTCACTATTTGATCTTAGGCCTCCAGTCTTCCCCCAATCCAGGTGCTGAGCGCGTCCCAGCGCAGAAGGCGAAACCCCTTTGGAAGTCTCACCCCACCGTGAGCTGAGTTGGGGCAGCAGGCCCATGGGAAGGGGAGATGCCTGTCTCAACTCCCCATCACTGGCGGGGACACGGGGCATCAGTCCAGCTGCTGGCGAATGGGGTGCCTGGCAGCCGGTGGGCTGCACGTGTGCCCAGTCGGGGGGCAGGGCCCCTGGGCACCGGTGAGGGTCTGTACTCACCCCATAAATACTCCCGTGCCCAAAGCGCATAACATTAAGGAACAAATAAAGAAACACAGGAGAGGTGGAAAAGACACTGCAGAAGGAAAAGCCAACAGCACTTTCTCCTGCTATCTGAACATTGTCATTGGAGACGGTACCACAAATTATGCAGCCAGCCCTGCCAACAAGATCTGCTGCCGGCCTCGTGAGAAGGTCAGGGGCTCCTCCTTGAGGTAGTGGCCACACCCTACGTGTGCTTTTCCTGTATTCTTCGGAGTTCTCTTTTTAGGTCTTTTAGTAATCACCTCTACTGGTCAATTATATTTTATATAAAACTTTTCCTATTCAAGTGGTTTGTTTCTGAGTCCTGCCTGGACGCTGACTGACGCACAGTTTTTGCCCACAGTCTGACAAAAGGCTACATTAAAGGATCCAAAGCACGTTGTAACCCACAAAGTTCTGCAAAACTCCAGGAATTATTAGTAATGGCCGGCCCTGGCTTCCCCACCCCACCTCTGCTCTGAAGTCTGAAGTCCCACCATCGGTGAGTTCTCTGGGTGTTTCCTGTCACAATAAAAATGTCCCCAGAGAGGCAGCACTGACAGACCCTGGCCTTTGAAGAAGGTCTGGCTCAGGGTTAACCCTAAAAGTAGGAAAATGTAGATGTTCCATACCTCAGTTTCTCCTAAATATACTGAGAAGAACTAAATTTAACCCTGAATGCAGCTTGTCAAATAGTTTCCAAATCTGGATGAAAACCAAACAGGAAACAAAGGCTGGGGTTACTCTGGGGCCCAGAGACAGCCTGAGCTGTCACCAGAACGTCACACAGACCCACTGAAGGTCTCCACTGTAACTCAGAAACCGGGCTTTGTCTCTGCTTCTAAAGGGAGGGAAAGACGAAGTCCACCACAGCTGTGCTGATGGCCTCCACTGTCCCCCATCCTACCCAGAAAGGCTGCTGTCCTGAACCAGCCTTGACTGCCTGACATTCTGCAAAGCACCCACTCCAGAGGGGACAAGGCAGGGAAATTCCACCACTGGGGAGTTCCTCGATGCTGAGGATGAGAGACCAGTCATTCAGCTCCTCAGCTGTAAAATGAAAATACAATGACTTTTCAGGTCCCTGGCTGCCCTAATATTCACTGTAATCTAACAATCAAGGACTTACCAAGGGGAAAAAAAAAGGACAGACTATCTTCAGTGAAGGGACCAACATAAAAACAGCGTAAGGAATGTGCAGGTCCTTTACATATATAAGCATCTGTAAGGTAGTGTTAACAGTACTCTGCAGATGAGGAAAAAGAAGCTTGCAGGGGGAAAGCTGTATGAGACCAGTTAACAAAGTAAGTGGTACAGCAACAATCAAGCCAAAATCTGGACTGCGGACAGAACGGGCACCCTGTTTGTTTTTGGGTAGGTGGGGGAAGGTTATGTAATTTAAAAACACTCCTCAACGGAGTCAGATCAACATCACCCTAAACTACATCAAGAACCACAGCTCTCAAGTCCATCACCCTCTCCTGAAAGACACAGCACATTCAGAAGGTGTGTAAAAGGACTTCTATACCCAGATCCTGAAGGTTCATCCAGCAACCAACTTGCCCTGTGCTCCAGGAGGCTGAAATGGAAAACAGCACTTCCACACACCTTAGCACCTCCAGGGAACTTCATTAGACCTTGGAAGGTGTTCATTTTACAGGAGAGGAAACTGAGGTCCAGAGAGATTAAATGACTTGTTGACATGGGCTGAGCCAAAACTAATAATCCAGGTTTCCAGACTTTGAGTCCAAAGCACTCCACTGCCTCATGTAAAAGAATCCGGGCAAAGGCCTGGAAACAAACACAGCTAGAAACTCGTCCCTAGGGCTGATCCAGAATGGAGGAGCATAAGTAACATGTAATACCTAACCTGAAAGCTCAAGGTCCTGATGGAGACAAAACCTGCCCAGCTTTTTGTTCAGGAGAAGAGGGCATTCTCCAATGAGTGGGGGGGGGGGTGCACTGTGGAGCAAATTAACCAGTCCTCTTACCACACAAGCCCAAATCAAAGAAAACAAGTGCTTCATTTTCACATGACAGGTCTCAAACCACAATCAGGGTGGATGCCTTTGCAAAACCCAAGTTCAAAAACCAATCTAAAACCTAACAACAATCTCCAAGAATCTCACAGGGCAGACTCTCACACTTAGGAAAAAATGGTAATTACTCAGTGCATAGTCTTCGGGTGGTGGTAGGGGAGTGGCGATAGGGAACAGGCAAGACAACAGGAAGAGTGTATTATTTGCATTTGAATTCCCATGCAGGTGGATTAGGAACAGGTGGGCCCAGAACTCATCTGGAGTCATTGCCTGGCATGTCACACGAGCCCAGTGGGGAGCAACGCGAGGGCCCTTCCGGCACGCAGGCCCGATGCTCCCGCGGCCCCGTCGGGCGGCCCGGAAGCCCGGGATCCCCGGGAGTGCGCCCGGCTGCGCTCCGCGGCCTCCTCCCGGCTGCCTCGCCCGCGCCCTCCGCCCTCGCCGCTCGGGCCTCCAGCCCCAGGGACTCCAGGTCAGGGAAGGCCACGGGACGGAGGCGAGGGGCCGAACCGGCGTGACCGTCCTTCGGCGCCGCGCCTGAAGCCACCCCTCCGGCCCGAGCTCGAGCTGCCGCGCTACTTACTGGCCATGGCTCTGCCGGGAAGGCGCATGGATGGGCCCAGAGGCTGAGCGAACGTCTTCGGGCCGACAGCCGCGGCGCCGCGCGGGGCGGGCCAAAGCCGCGTCGTGGGCGGGCCAAAGCCTCGTCGTGGGCGGGGCCACGCCCCGAGGCTCCGCCCCTCCCGCCTCCAGGACCGCTGGCTCCTGGGAGAGGGTATCTTCTTTCCCGCTCGCCTCAAACACGTATTAATGGCCCGCTGTTTGCGCTAGGATGGACCAACGGGAAACGGCTAATTACAACGCAGTCCTGAAAAAGGAATGCCTCAGAATGCAAAGGGGCAAAGAGAGGGCGACCTAAATCGAGGTAGTGTGCTGGTAAATGTTTAACAACCGGCCTCTTGGATTCTCAGCAAAAAGACTGAAACTTTGCTAGCTGGATCACCCCTGTGGCCAGAAGATGCATGCTGAAAATATTTAGGGGTGAACTGTCAGAATGTCTCTCTTGAAAATGATCAGCAAAAAGAAAATGTATGTTTATAAGCCAAATATGGCAAAATGTTAAATTATTAAATCCAGGAGGAGGACATATAGCTGTTCATGGCACTGTTTTAAGACTTTTTAAAGGTTTATATTTTAAAACTTTCATGAGAAAAACTTGGGGGGAATACATACATTTATGGCGGGGTTGTTTTGTTTTTTAAGTTTTAACAGATTATCTGGACCTGCCTTTGCAGCAGGAAGATCTTTAATAACCTTTTAATTTCTGTTCCGCTTATGGCCTACTAAGGTCCCTTAGTCAATACTGACCACCCATTTCATTTAGACTTGCAAGTTTACTGGCATGAAGTTATATCCAAGAGCCGTTCCAAACATGACTGGGCAAGCTATTGGAACATCCAGGTGGAGATGCCCAGTAGGCAACTGGACATAAGACTCAAACTCAGATGTCTAGCCTGGAGACTGGTTTAGGAGTTGTCATCAATTTAGACCAAGACATGGGCCTAAATGTGGATGACAACACTCAAGCGGGCTGTGAAAAGCACAGGCAGAAGAGGGGCCTAGGAAGGATCCATCCCAGAAGCAGGAGGACCAGGAGAGGCCATCAAGACCTCCATGGGTGCTGTTTTCCCTACATCACATGCTGGGAAGCTGCGGACTTGTATTTTAGAGAAGAGAAGCGTTAATAAAAACGAAAACTGGTTTTGAAGTCTTCCTTAGAACTTTTTTGGCATAAAAGGAAAGCTAGACAGTGGGTTCCAGTTCTAGCTCTGCCACTAACTTGATGTTAATACCTAGGGCAAACCACCTCACTCTCAGGACCTTTTCATCACCTGTACTACAAGAGGATTAGAGGCAACAGGAGAGAGGCTGGAGGAGTGAGTCTGTGCTGCCTGCCCCTTGAACGCAGCAGCCCTGCCTTTGTGTTTCCATGTTCCCTTTCATCTAACATCTGAAAAGGAGAAACATTACTACACTAAATGGATCTCTAAAGCCCAGCTAAAAATCTGGTGTTGCCAACTATGTCTCACAGCTTTTATGACCACTTCCAGGCTGGTATTGGTCAGATTTCTATTTTTACTCCAGAGGAGCTATTCCAGCATCTACAGCTGCCTGTGAGCCATCTCTAATTACATGTCTTGACATCAGTTCAAACTCAGCTGTCTGAAACTTAAGTTTATCACCTCAGAAAGGGCTTTTCCTCCCAGCTTTCCTTTTACTCATAGGCACCACCATTTATAATGTTTTCCAAATCTCTCTGCTCTCCATCCCCTTCCACCCCACAAAAGAATCTAAGACACACCTATATCTTTCAATTCTCTTATCCCCTACCTCTGGTTAGGGACAGGGCCCTTCTTATCCCCTGAAGTACCCCTTGATTGCTGCCTCTTATTCTGTCCCCATGACCACCATCCACAGCTGGGTCTTCCTCATTTCGGGGAGACCGCTACAGGCTACTCATAACTGGTCTCCTTTCCATCAGTATCTTATCCTCCAAGCACTTCTTCACGGTATTAGGGAAGTTAGTCTGGGGGAACATGAGTTCAATTTTTGGGGTAAGGTAGATATACAAATGTCTAATAGAGAAGAGCTGAAAATCAGGGGAAAGAATTGGAGTCATCTGCACTAGAATAAGAGCAGAAATTCTAAGAATGGATGAGATCCTAGAAGAAGAATGTATAATAATACAAAAGACAGACTCAAACTTGGAAATTATACTGGGTTTAGAGCTTTGCACAGGGTGAGAGAGTCCAAGGGAATGTGTGTGTGTGTGTGTGTGTGTGTGTGTGTGTGTAAATATATGAATAACTTTCTAAATTTCTGATGCAACTGTCTACAAATTAGACCTGAGTTCAAAACTTTGCTTCATCACCAAAAGGCCATCTGACTTTTGGGCAAGTTATTAGTAGTATAGGGATAGCAACTTAAAATAACTACAGGAGCTAGAAAGTTACCTATGGAGTGAAGTGGTGACTTGGAGAAAAGGTAGCAGGAAACGGAAAAAGGCCCCTAGCTCTGCTCTATGGTCTGCAGGCCAGCACACAGCAAAGAGGTCAGACATAGCGTACCAGCTGTGAACAGGAACTCTGGAGTTAGATTACCTGGTTTTACATCCTGACTTGCTGTATGATCATAGAAAGCACTTACCTTTTTTGTGCCTCTATTTCTTCATCCATAATATGGGGATAATAGCACACACAGCAAAAGATTGTTGTGAGGATCACAAAACTTTACAAGGGCTTAGAAACTACTTGGTACAGAGTACCAATCCCATAAATGTTATCCATTAGAAGCCAAACATCCAAATAATTAAAAAATCTCCTGATTTTTAAATGTTGCCACTTAGTTCAAAAGTCAAAAATTGTGTGGGCCCCACAAAATGTCATATTCAGCCTTAAGCAGCCAGCTTGCAGCCCTGCTATTGTTTCTCTTCATTTATTCAACAAATGACCACCATTGCATGTCAGGCATTGATGTAAGCACTGGGGATACAGGGATAGAACCTTCACACTTATAAAAGTTAGTCTATATTTCTTTACTCTGCCTCTTCACGAATTAGTTGAAAGGATTAAATAAGGAACGTGAAAAGCCTAAGAAAACAGTCATAAATGTTGGATTTTGAAGATATAATCTATTGAATTAATATGAGCTATTAATTTTAAACATATTTTCATCTCCATACAGTAAAACTGAACTTTCTGGTTGAGTTCTATGAGTTTCAGTACACTGTGGGTTTGTGTCACCACCACTACAATCAGGACAGAGAACAGTCCCAGCACCCTACAAATGCCCTTGTTCAGCTCCCTCATCATCAAACTCTCCCCTCACCCCTGGCAACCACTGGTCACTTCTGTCCCTGTAATTTTTCCTTTTCCAGAATGTAATGTAAGAGGAATCATAAAGTATGGACTTTGAGAGTGACTTCTGTCAAGCAGCATTCTGCCTTTGAGATTCACCCATGTTGCTGCATATATAGATAGCGCGTTCCTTTTCACTGCTAAGCAGTATGACCCCGGGTGGGTGTGCTAGTCTGTTTATCCATTAACCTACTGAAGGACATCTGGGTTGTTCCCAGCTTTTGGCAACTAGAGGGCTGCCATACACATTCGTGTCCAGGTTTTTGTGACAGTATGTTTTCCTTTCTCTAGGGGAAATACTTAGGAGTGGGCTTGCTGGGCTACATGATAAATGTATGTTTAACTTTAAAGAAATGGCCAGACTTGTCTAGTGGCTATACCATTTTGCATTCCCACGAGCAATGTGTAAATGTTCTCATTGTTCACATCCTCACCAGCACTTTGGTATTGTCAGCTTTTGTCTGTTTTCAATTTCAGTCACTCTAATCAGGTGTGTAGTGGTTTCATGATTTTGATCTGCATTTCCCTAATGGCTAATGACATTGAGTATCTTTTATGAGCTTTTTTTTTCCTGCCATTCTTGTATCTTTTTTGAAGTACTTGTTCAAATCTTTTGTCCATTTTTAAAATTGGGTTGTTATTGTTGAGTTCTGAAAGTCTATATATTCTCAACACAATTCTTTGTTAGATATGTTTTGCAAGTTTTTTCCTCTTGTCTTCCCATTCTATTAATAGTCCTTTGAGAGCAAAATGTTTTAATTTTGATATGTCAGATTTATTAAATTTTTTACAGATTACACTTTTTGTATCATATCTAAAGAATCTTGGTCTAACGTAAGGTCATGAAAATTTTCATTAGGCTTTTTTTTTTTAATGAAGGTACTGGGAATTGAACCCAGGACCTCATGCATGGTAAGCACGCATTTTATCACTGAGCTATACCCTCCCCACTTCAACTTAGTTTAATAGGTTTAAATTTTACATTTAGACATATGATCCAGTTTGACTTAATCTTTGTAAAAGGTATGAGGTAGGCTGAGGTTCACTTCTTTATATATGGATATCCAACTGTTCCGTCACCATGTATTGAAAAGACCATCCTTTCTCAGTTGAATTGCCTTTGAACTTTTGCCAAAAAACCACCATTATTTATGTAGGGCTCTTTCTGAATTATGTATTCTGTGTATTAATATGTTATCTATCCTTTCTGCCAAATACCTGTCTTCATTACTGTAGGTTTATAGTAAGTCATAAAACTGGTAAGTGTAAGCCCTCCAATTTTGTTCTAACTTTTCAAAATTGCTTTGGCTATTCTATTTCCTTTGCGTTCCCATGTGATTTTTAGAATCAGCTTGTTTATGTTAACAAAAACTCTTCCTGAGATTTTGACTTTCAGAATTACATCTGTAGTTCAGTTGGGGAGAACTGACATCTTATGCTATATTCCAACCCATGAACATGGTATGTTGCTATTTAGTTTTTTGTTTGTTTTTGTTTTGGGGGGGTAGGTAATTAGGTTTCTTTCTTTATTTTTAAATTAATTTTTATTTTTATTTTTTAGTGGAGGTACTGGGGATTGAACCCAGGACCTTGTGCATGCTAAGCACACACTCTACCACTGAGCTATATACCCTCCTCCCAGGTTTTTGGTTTCTTACACATTTTCTAGTTTTCAGTAATATAGATCCTGCATGTTTTGTTAGATTCGTATTAGGTATTTTACATTTTGAACTAATATTAGTGGCTTTTAAAAAGCTTTTGGTTTCCAATTGTTCACTGCTAGTACATATAGATATAAGAAGGACTTTTTTTATGCTGAAC